CCCCAAAACCCCAAAACCCCAAAACCCCAAAACCCCTTATTTAATTTCATAAATAGAAATGAACAAAATCAGGTCTCTAAAATTTCCAAAATCCAAACCCAAAATCAAGTCCAAACCCCCTGCTCCATCTCCAAGTAACCCCTCTCTAACCCTCCAGACGACAAGCCCAGACTAAAGTCTAACCTACCCCAAAAACTTATGGAAGTAAAAGAAATATAAACATTCCTCAAGTTTCTATTTATCGGAAGTAAGTTTTGATTCAGAAAGAAAATGCCTCAACCTATTCTCCCAACACTAGTTTTTCAAGCTGTAACAAATTATACATATCACCAATACAATCATTAACTTTAAAATTTGTTCAAATGATGAAACTTGCCACCAGTTTAGCTTAATCTCATCTTTTTCTCAAATCCTTAAAGAAATTTAAAAATTAAGAAAAGCCAGTTTATCTTTAACAATGTTCTAAATCATAAAACCCGTTAAAATACCACAATACATAGGGATGACAGCCGTCATAAAAAGGGGAAATTTCTGCTTAAATATTACCACAACTACAAAAAGACACCAAAAGTACTTTAAACCTCATCTGTAGACAGGAATAGTTGCTCAAAAGTAAAGAGATACTCTTCCTGCAGCAGAAATTCAAAAATTTAACAGATATGAATGAGAATTTAAGACAGCAAATATTTGATATCAAAGGAGAAGATAAAGTGTTCATGCATAAATTCAAAAATCACAAAAGATATATTAACAAGATGAACACTGAGTTAGAAAACACCATGAGTTTAGTGAACAAATACAAGAAATTTGTTAAAAAGTACAAGAGTGCAAAAGGATATGTTTAATACTATTACTTGACTAAATATCGACGTTGCTTATATTTCACGTAATTTCTCTTTGGTATTTTTAGCACACGGGTTGGCTTGATCTCCTCTTTTTCTACTTTCTGTTCATTCTCTACATTGGATCTCTTTAGACTATTTTCACCTTCTCTCTTATTAAACCAGTTATCTGTATTCTGAGGGCTTCTCAGCATCCTACATCCCTTTATAGTCTTAGCACGTTCTCTTCTTCTCATTAGACACTTTCTATAGATAGAAGTTATAAAGCGAATGTGGGAATAAACTAAGAAATTTAGATTTGTTCTAAATTTTATTCTAAACTTTTTCCCAAGTTTTAAACCTAAAACAAAGTAATTAATCTCTAAAAAGAGGTCAGAAATGCACAAAAACTTCGCAATTTAAAGTATATAAATTGAGTGCTTAGGCCACTGGCAATTTTATGCATAAAACTTAATTTTCTTGCGATTTATTACTGTTCCAAGAGAACTAATTTCGAAGCATAAAGTGTTTTGCAAAAGAATTAAGAGGGCAAAATGAAACTAAATGCACTACTTTTTTATATCTTAATGGCTTTGCACAAAGGATGTTTAGAAGCAAGCTTTGAACACTTTTTGGCCTTCTCATTTGGAAAATTTCATATGGTATTACCTTATTGTTCAATTGTTTGATCCCCTTGTATATTTCTCCTCGATTGAAACTCGGGTAGAAACTTTTGTGCTTATAGCCTTCATTAAAGTCAGTCCTATAATATAGTTAGAATGACAAGGATTCGACCCTCTTTACTCTCTAAAATCTTATAAAACCTTTCACCAGGCTGATTAATCGAGTTTTAAGTAAACACTGAAATTTCCGGGTAAATGGAATAAGAAATTCCATGAAAACAATTCCCAGTGAATTAACCGTTATTTTATCGAATGGCTCAGGAGTTTGGACAAAAGAGCATTTAAAGAGTTTCTGCTTTATTTTAGGAATTCTAAAGTTAAAAGGCTTACATTTGTTATTATCAAACCTCCCATTTTTATCTTTCACCGACATTTTGAGAAATGAAGAAGTAGCTGAAGGAGACTTTGTCTGTTTAATTCGCTTATTGCTAATCTTGGCTCATGGGTTAGTAAGGTTGGTCAAATTCCTCCCGACCTCTAACTTATGAGGAGATGTGACTCTACTCTCTACCTCCTGCTCTTTGGGGAATTCAGGAAATCTCTCAAAAATATCAGTCAGTAATCAAGATTTTATTTGGTATAAAGCAGATATCGAATCTGAGAAAGACATATTATAATCTTTCCTGGCCCGAATGTAGCAACAAAAGGCTAAATAGTCTGGTCTTGTGATTAAAAACAATGGATTGTGCAATGTCTGATCCATATAAGCAATTGCTGAAGTCATTATCAACTCTGAAAGATCTTCTAGATTGGCATTTTCGATTTTAATATTTTTCGATTTCACCAAATCAGATTTAAAACATGGCCCAGTTTTGGACATAAAAAGAAGAAAATGATATGGTGTCAATACATTTACATTCCAGCTGAGAGACTCCAGAATAATTTTTTCAACCTTAATTAAATCCTCTCTTGAGTATCTTGAAATGGTTTGCTCTCTTAAAGTGTTAATAGAAATTCAGGTAACATCAGTCTCATTATATTTAGACGCAATAAGAATAAAAACTATAGCTGTAAGCTCCTTATCCTCAATATGTTTCAGTTTTTTCAAATATGTTGCGAATAAAACAACAGAATAATTAATAGTGAGGAAACTAAGATTTCACCGCTTGCTAAGATCAAAAATCTTTCTGACCACCTGCTTATAAGTCCTTTCTATTTCAGGAGAGAGCTCAAACTCTTTGTCTATCAATTGATTTTCCAGGTCTTGCTTGAGGTGTTCATATTCTTGGACTATAAGTTTGTTTTCTTCACCTCTAAATGGATAATCAATATTATCCTCCACGAAACTTCCATCCTCTTTTCTAGCCAGATCAGAAATGAATGTTGCTCACTTTACTCACCAAATAGGTTCCTTCTGAGGTTTATTAAGGAACAAGTGGCTGCATTGATTGCTATTATTTTCCATTTTGAACGGATTTTTCTAAACCGAATAAATTTTATGATTATTAAAATCAACATTCGCATTTCTAAACGGGGTTTTGGGGTTTTGGGGTTTTGGGGTTTTGGGG